CCCGCTGCGCCCCACAGCTGGCCCCGCCGCATTCCCCTGACCTCCCAGGCTCGGTGCACGGAAGCGCCTGCGTTAGACGCACGCACGCCCCCTCCGCACACCGCCCTCGTCTGCCCAGGGCTCCTCCATGCCGTGGACGCGGCGGGAGGCGATTCCGCGTGGCCGCGGGGCAGCGTGTCCTCGCCCCGGCTCAGGCACGTCCACAGCCACGGCCACACGGTTACCCCTCGCGCATCTTCCCTGCCTCGCCCGCCACCCCGGGGCCCTCAGTGAGGGCGCACGCTCCCTGGCCCACCCCGCCGGCACGTGCTGGCCGGGTGCGCGGGGGCAGGGGATGAGAGGCCGCCCCGTGGGCCCCAAGTCACGCTCCAGGGCTCCCGCCGTGTCGGGGTGCGGGTGTCCCGGCAGTGCCACGCTCGGGGGCCCCAGGCCGAGGATGGGGCCAGTGCGGGGGCCACCTGCCGGTGTCCCTCTGGTCGGCAGAGTGGTCGGACTGGCGTGGCCAGCAGCGTGGGCGGCCTGCGGCTCTGGCATGACGTCTTCCCGCTGCGCTGCTGGCCGGCGTGGGGCTGGGCGTCCCGCGCTCAGGGTCCGGCCTGGCCGGCACACTGCCGTGACCCTGGGCGGTGCTTCGTCGCGCTGACCCCGTGTCCACATCCGGGCAACGGCCCCGAGGCGCGGGTGTTCCAGGACCAGGCCTCCCTCCAGGGCTCGGCGGCCAAGCACTGGGGAACCCCTGGCAGCTGCAGGGTGCCTCTGCCCCGGGGTGTTTCTGTCGGAGGCTCATGACACGCTGCTTCTCCTCTAGGGAGATCCCGGCATCAGAGGTGACAAAGGACCTCCTGGTGGGAAGGGCCAGCCGGGGGACCCCGGAGCCCCAGGCCACAAAGGCCACACGGGCCTGATGGGACCCCAAGGACCGCCAGGGGAGAATGGGCCAGCCGGGCCCCCGGGGCCGCCCGGCCAGCCAGGATTCCCAGGACCCAGGGTAAGGGTGCGGGTGCTGCCTCGCCCGGGGCTGCTGGGCTGGGGGTCCTGGGAGGGGTGTGGCCTTCAGAGGGGCCAGGACGCCTGTGTGGGCGCGGCTGCTCCTGCCCGGCGCCCTGCGCCAGCCCCAGGCTGAGCGGCGGCCCTGGAGTCTGTGTGGCCAGTTGAGTCACACAGTTGCTCCCGTCCTGCTTCTGCCTTGCCCTGGCTCTGAGGTCGGTCCTTCCTGGTGGCTGTGGGCACCTGGGTGTCCCACCTGAAGCAGCTGGGCACCCTGCCCCTGTCCCGGCCACATCGGAGGCCCCGTGCCCTCGCCACGCCGTCCCAGGTCTGCTTCCATGTGCTGGACACTCGGGACGCCCCTAAGAGTGATTGGCCGGAGGAGAAAAGAGCGAGGAGGAGATGGGGTCCACCTCTCCCGGGGCCCCGGGCCTGGCCCGTGGGGTGCTTGCCCTTGAGGCGACCGCTCCCCCGAGGGGTCGGACAGGAGGGGACCTAGAGGGGACCTCGAGGGGACGGGTTCTGCTCTGGTAGGTTCTGAGACTCCTCCCTCTGCTTCTCTGAGCATCCTCACGGGTGTCTGCGAGCTGAGCCCAGGACAGGGTAGGGCTCGGGCATGGGGCTCAGACCCAGACGGGGAGACCAGACTCTGGGGGCCAGAGCGGCAGAGTGGCCCCTGGGGAGTCACACTTGAGCCCTTGCAGGAGGCGGCATGAGCTGGGAGGTAGTCAGGACTGCTCAGAGGCGGGAGGGCAGGCCGCGGGGCCGGTGCTGGGGAGGGTGCGGCTGGTCTTCCCCGGAGAAGCAGCCAGGGGAGGGTCAGGCCTGCAGGGAGGGACCAGCGGCCTCGCGGAGCCTGGGCAGGTTCTGAGTCACAAGGAGCGGGCCGGCCAGCCCCTGCCAGGGAGGCAGCTCCAGGTGCGAAGAGGGCGGAACTCGAACGGGCCTGGGGCACGCGGTGTGAGGTGCCCTGTGGCAGTCCTGGGGTCCCAGCTCCAGGGACCGTGGGCAGGAGTTAACCCCTCCCTCCCCCAGGGGGAGTCTCCATCCCTGGACACCCTGAGGCGGCTCGTCCAGGAGGAGCTCGGGAAACAGCTGGAAGGTGAGTGACCGGAGGTGGTCAGGGCCGGCCAGAGCCCCAGAAGCCGGCCCTCCTCGGGGCGGGGGCCCTGGCCGTCAGGGGTCCTGCAGCGCCCGATGCTGCCGTAGGGGGCGCCGCCGTTCACTCTGCGCCTCTGTGTGCCCGGTCACCACTGGCCCAGGCTGCTGGCGGGCCTCCCAGCACTCTGCCCGGCGGAGACCATGAGCAGACAGACGTGACGACCTCAGAGCAGTAAAAAGGTCCCGTGATGCCTCCGTGCAGAGGGTGAGGGAAGACAGACGCCGTGGCCGGCCAGCTCAGAGGGCGGGGTAGCGGAGCGGGGCTGCCCGGAGCGGGGCTGGGGGCCGGGAGAAGGGGCGAGGCCCCAGAACTTTGAATCTGTGTGAAGACCCTATTGGGCTGGTAGTGAACCCCAGGCCTGGCACTAGCCTGGCACAAGCAGGTGCCAGGGAGGGTGCAGGGGAGGAAGGTGGTGAGTGGGAGGAAGGTGGTGAGCCCCCAGTGCCCGCGGGCTCCCAAGCACACACCTGGGCTCCCGGAAGTCTCCCCGGGACCCCTGATCGTCAGGACGGCGCACGCGCAGCTGCCCAAGGCCAGAGCTGTCAAGGGGTCGGGCATGTGTGGCAGCCAGTGGCAGAAAGGCCGCTCCAGCCCCCTCGTGCCCTCCCTGTGTGAAGGGCGCCCGTGGAGAGAGCGCGGCCCTGCCCGGGCGGGGGCGGGAACCCGCGGGGCCGTCAGCGGGGTTCGCACCTACCCGAGGCCGGTGCCGCCGGGAAGGGCACAGCTCGGAACGCGGGCCCTTGGCTCCTGCCCACGGCCGTCCAGATAAGCACTGAGACCCGGAGGCCTTGAGCTGGGGCAGGGCGAGGGGAGGCGGGAAGTGGATGCCCAGGGGACCCCCGGGCCTCCGCAGCGGGGTTCCGCTTCCAGGCCCAGCTGCTGCCGCTCTCACCCAGGGCCACGGTCTGGTCGGTGCCCGTGGCTCACCCAGCGGGTGTGTGGGTGGTGGTGCGCGGGG